CTCTCTATTTGGATCACAATACAAAGTTCTCCTCGATTCTCTTAGAGATCCATTCGATGTAATTCTTTTTGTGGTGTGTTTGTCGAGATCCGATGAATCGTTAGTTTATGATCAAGATTATCTATGAACAATATTTGATTCTTCTCTGAAATCTTTTATGCATGATTTAAATATCTTTGCAAGTCTCTTCGAATTATCAATTTGGTTTGGCCTACTAGAATGATCGTTCTTGCAATGGGAGAAGTTCTTAGCTTTGGGTTCAATCTTGCGGTGTCCTTTCCCAGTGACATCAGGGGCAGCAAGGCACGTATTGTATTGTTGCCATCGAGGATAAAAAGATGGGGTTTATATCATATTGCTTGAGTTTATGCCTCTACATCATGTTATCTTGCCTAATGCGTTACTCTGTTCTTATGAACTTAATACTCTAGATGCATGCTGGATAGCGGTCGATGTGTGGAGTAATAGTAGTAGATGCAGAATTGTTTCGGTCTACTTGTCACAGACGTGATGCCTATATACATGATCATGCCTAGATATTCTCATAAGTATTCGCTTTTCTATCAATTGCTCGACAGTAATTTGTTCAGCCACCGTAGAATTTGCTATCTTGAGAGAAGCCACTAGTGAAACATATGGCCCCCGGGTCTATCTTCCATCATATTATTTTCATATCAACTTTGCTATTTCTATTACCGTTTATTTTGCAATCTTTATTTTACAATCTATATCATAAAAATACCAAAAATATTTATCTTATTATCTCTATCAGACCTCACTTTCGTAAGTGATCGTGAAGGGATTGACAACCCCTTTATCACGTTGGTTGCGAGGTTCTTGTTTGTTTGTGCAGGTACTAGGTGACTTGTGTGTTACCTCCTAATGGATGGATACCTTGGTTCTCAAAAACCGAGGGAAATACTTACGCTACTGTGCTGCGTCACCGTTTCCTCTTCCAGGGAAAACCAATGCATGCTCAAGAGGTTGCAGTGGTGAGGAGGGATAAGGCGAAGGGCTGTGTCGTGCTTGACAAGGAGGGGGTGAAAGAAATTCTCTCATGTTTGTCACGATGCCATTGAAGGCGAAGTTGACTTTGGAGAGTACAAATATTGTGAAGGTGAAGCCTATTGTCGCGGCCCTAGAAATCGATTGGAGCACCATAGTCACCACATGAGTTCTCATTTCCACATATTCTCTAATGGCTGTGAATATTATGATGACATGCTCAATTTATCCCCATCCATCGCAATGACAAAGCAACACAATATCAGAGAAGGCAAACACATACCAAACTAGAGCAATGCTGCTCGGATGTGCCTTAGCTATTTATCATATATGTTACAAAAGAGAATGGTTTGACTATTGAGGCTATATTTTTATTATCCGTGGCAACGTATGGACACTCAACTAGATTTTGTTAAATTTGATACCATAGTTACCATTCTCAATGGTTCTAATTACCTTATTCATGTTACATGTTACATAATCTTAAGTTTCATTTGTTTTCCTGTATTGTGACCGGTAGCAACCCACGGGCATTTAGCATGTAAATTATTTACGTTGCAAGTGAAGTGGACTTAAATTATTACCCGATTGTGTCCGCATTATATTTTTCTACTTGTGAAATTTAACATGCATTACCATTATCTCCAGAAAAATATTTCAAAAGCCCGTGGCAACGCACGAGCACTCTACTAGTCATCTATAGCCGGTCACCTCAAATCCTCCTCAAACGCAGACATGCCCGGTCAGTGGCCGGACAAGAGAGAAGAAAAAAAATGATCCAATCGGACACTTCACATCATCTCTATACATCAAGGCTGTCTCTATAAGGGGAGGATACGATGGCCAACGGATGCGCCCGGACGCGCAGTCAGTCTGCCACATATGACGTGGTCCACTCAGGACCATCTTTTCTACTTTATTTTTTTCTTCACTTTTTTCATCTCCACCAATCACATGCAAGTGATGGACATACAAGAAAAAATATATTAAGGAGCATGAGTGCATGCACAAACAAAATATGAGCTCAAAACGAATACGTCCAAACAATGGGCACGTCCACAGTCGTCCATGATCGATTAGGCCGGATTTGCTAAGGCCCTGTTTGTTTGGGCTTATACTTTTACTTTTGAAGTTTTTCATTTCAGCCTAAAATCCAAAAAAGCTTCTAAATAGGTGCTTTTAGCTTTGGCTTTTGTCTTGTTGATCAATATTGTAATATGATGGTATAAGCCAAAATCCAAAAATGAAAAGCCCTATTTAAAAGTTTTTATCTTTAGGTCAAAGTGAAAAGGTTGCAAAAGCAGAAGCATAAGTTCAAATGAACAAGGCATAAGAGTATCCACAACCGGACTTTGCAAATGCGACCACTCAAATGCCCGCAGACGCGTCCGTGGACACTGACCGGTCACTCCCTAAATCTGCACTTCCATACCCGTGTATCTCACATCTGGCACCCTATATCCATACAAATTCCTGCAACGTAATGCACAAATCATCAAATGATCAAAATAAACAGACATATAAACCGATATCAAACGGGCATAATTCACATAAATATCACCAAAAGATCACCAAACGGGCCTAGTTCACACAGTTCAATGATCCGGCACATTGTAACTACATACTAGAACTAGATTACAGAAAAGGAGAGGGTGAGCTTCACCACTTCCTCCCCGACCCTTTGCCCTTCCGGTCGCCGGCACTGCTATAGGCGTCCGTAGCAGGAGCTGCGTCGACGTCGGAACCATCAGAGTCAGACACGTCGGAGGAGGAGGAGGAGATGATGATGTAGCCTTGCAAGCGCCGGACGTTGCCGTCTTGCTTGCGCTTGAGCTTGGCCACCCTCGCCGCCGCCGCCTCCTGCTCAGATTGCTCAATGCCGAGCTGGAGCCGCTTGATCCTCTGGAGCCGCCAGGCGTCCGTCTCTGTCGTGGTAAGTGACAGATGGTACACCAACTCGAGGAGACACTCCTCCTCGTCGGGCACCGGCATCACGCGGTAGCGGCGGGCGGATTGCGCAACCGTGTCAGACCCGCCCCCCATCTCCCTTGCCCTCTGCTTCTCATGGCGGGCGGCGCGTGCCTCCGACTCCGGAGTCCGCATCCGCGGCGCCGGCAGAGCAGGCACTAGAACCCACCGCTGCCCGCGCGGAGCAGCGGCTGGAGGGTTAGGAGGCTGTCGGGCGGGCGAAGCAGATTGGGCAGCCCGCGCAAATCCGCGCGCGGGGCGGGAAGGGCGGGCGCCGGCGTCGGTGCTGCGGCGACGAGCGACAGGAGGCGTTGCATCAGACCCGGAGCTGCCGCCCGTATCGACCCGCGAGCGCTCGAGCGCGATACGAAGCGCCATCTTGTACTCGTCTTCGGAGCTGCCGTCGGAGTGGCTGCCGGTGCTTGACATGCTCGCCGGCGCTAGGGATTGGACGGATTGGGGAAAGGGGAGCGTCGGGGAGCGGCGTGAAGTGAGCTAGGGTTTGCTCCAGAGGGGGATTTTGTGGGGTTCGAGTGGGCCAACGGTGGGCCGGGCTGATGTGGCGGATGCGCCTATGCCGTCTCATATCTGCCCTATATTTAGGCTGGATATGAGGGGTGCCGGTCAGTCCGGGCGTTTGTCTGCGGTTTGAGAGCTTCGGTCAGGTCGGTTTTTTGTGACCGCTCAGTGACCGTACGGCCTGCCCAGACATTTGTCACGTGTTTGAGAGGTCTGGCTGTAGATGCTCTAAGAGCAACTCCAACCGGACGACCCATTTTGTTTGTTTCGGTCATCCGGACAGAAAACATGGCCCAACTGGGCGACCCAAACGGACACCACGTCTACCTGATATTCGCTTGTTGTCTGTCCGGACCCAAACTGGCGCAAAAATGGGTCCCCGGCGGACAAAATTGGACGCTCCCGTCGTCGGCTCTCGTCCTCTTCTCCCCTCTCGTGTCCGGCCTGGTCCCACCTATCAGCGATCCGCACTTTCTCCACAACCGCCGTGTTGCACTTTCTCCACAACGACATCGATGAAGCCACCGGCGTAGGCCACCGCGGCGCTCACTGGCGAGGCCACCTGCGCAGGCCGCTGCCTCCCGTTCTGATCTTGGTGGAAAGCAGCGGGGAGATCTCCAGCGGGTTGGAAGTGAAGCCCGGAGCCGCTCGGCGAGTTCTTGCCATACGAGGACTCGTGGTGCAGGCCGAGCGGGCGGTCGGTGGTGCAGGCCATGGCGGCGGAAGAATGCAGTCGGCGGACGGCTGGTGGCGGAGGAACGCGGCGGCGCGGAGACACTCGACGTGCAATCCGTGGCGGCGGAGGAGCGCAGCAGGCGGCGTGGGAGGGAACGCGGCGGCTGCAGCGGCCGGCTGGCTGGTGGTGCAGGCCATGGTGGCGGAGGAACGCGGCGGCGCAGGAGGAAAGCGCCGCGCAGGCCGCGATCACGGAGGAGTGCAGCGGCGCGGGAGGAAAGCTGCGGCTTCCACGTCGGCAGCTTCGCTTGTCTGCTTTTTGCGTCTTGTGCGTTGGGTTCATCCATGAGCCGCGCGTGTCCGATTCATGTTCGCTAGGCGGACGGGCAATCTAAATGGACAAAATCCGTATCCATTTGAGTCACCGTGTTGGAGTTGATCAATCAGGTGTTTGTCTGTGGTTTAAGAGATTTGATGGATCGGTTTTCTGTAACCGCTGAGTGACCGGACCGCTTGCCCGGACGTTTCCACACCACACCAGCAACACGGGTCCAGATTCCAGTCCAGTCCAGTCCAGTGCAGAGGTGGCGGCCGTCACCGAATGCCACCGTTCTCGTGAGTCAGGCACGCAGAAAAGCCGCCGCGCACCTCGGTTGGAGGCCCGAATTCTCTTGGAAAAGCTAATATCCGACGCTACGCTCCACCCCGGCGTGCACGCTCTTCCCCGTCTCTGCTCCTTTCACTGCAAGCTTCTCTCCTCTTCGGCCATCTCCTCCGCTCCACGATCGAATGGGCTCGGCTTCAGGTAATCCCACAGAGCAAACTCGAGATGCATGCAGTTGATTCCTACAACCATCAGGCCTAATTGTGAGACTCTTTTGCTTTCTACGGCTGATGATCCATCGTCGTTGCTGTGCACTTCTGCAGATGGTAGCAGGGAGCACCTGCTGGACGTGGGCGGCCTCGCCGCCGGCGGGCCCAAGATACGGGTGCGCGGGCTGCGGCGGCGGGCGGAGGCGAGCGGCGAGGAGATCCTGCGCGGGGTGGACCTGGACGTGCCGCGCGGGGTGGTGATGGGCGTCATCGGCCCCAGCGGCAGCGGCAAGTCCACGCTGCTCCGCGCGCTCAACCGCCTCTGGGAGCCCGCCCCCGGCGCCGTCACCCTCGACGGCGCCGACATCTGCGGCATGGACGTCCTCGCGCTCCGCCGCAAGGTCGGCATGCTCTTCCAGCTCCCCGCCATGTTCGACGGTATGTACC